CTTGTTGATACCCACGCAAGAACCACATTAACAAAAAAACCGATTTAATTTAACAAATATTTCTTTCAAGTATTTATACCTCTGTCCTTATAGCGCAGTCGATGAAGCCGTATTCAAAAGTAAACAACATCTGCTATTTTTATACGACATTCCTTTAATAATTAATTAACTCGGTTCACCAAATGGAATTCGAATTTATTATCACAATAGTTCAAATTTAAAACGGGCTGCATAAGCTTCCCTTCAAGTCAAATGAATTATCCGTTTATACTTGTTTTCTAACTGATGTGAGAAAAAAGCATCTGAAAACAAATTCAAGTCAATACACCTTTTAAGTTCAACGAGCTTTGAAATTTAGTTTATGCATCCGTTTTGAATTACATCGTACTGGGTCAAAGCGCTTTATGTGTCGGTATAAACAAGGTATGTATATATATTTGTTTATTTGTTTAATTATCTACCGGACACTGTCCTCACAGATAAGCAGGAAAAAAATAACACGTTATAAAAAATAGTCATAATATTTATACATACAGGATAACAACAACATATGTTTAAATTATTTCAAAATAAAATAATCATTGATATTAATTTTAAAACGTTCTCTACATGAGTAAAAGTCGACGTAATTACAAATAGAGTTACATACACAAATGGATTAGTGAATGGCTCTTTGCTAGCAAGTTTCGTTTTTCGCGTTGGTACGTAAAAAATTTATTTTTCTCTTAGAAGCCTCTCCGGCGCATAAAAAGGTATAATCGAAGGTAGTTCTGGGGAATCGATTTTGTTATCGCATATATCCTTGATGAAAAGGATACTACAAATTTTTCTCCTGTTAGCAAGGTATTGTAAATTCAGTATTCTGCATCTGAGTTCGTAAGATGGCATAGATTCATAAGAAAACATGCGTCGAAGGGCAAATTTAGTAAAACGCCTCTGAACTCTTTCTATGCGGTCAGAGTGAGTGACAAAATCTGAGTCCCAAATAATGCACGCGTATTCCCAGATAGATCTCACCAAGCATGTGTAAAGACTTTAAAGTGTGAGAGGATCTAAAAAGTCCTTTGAGTTACGTTTGAGAAAACCCAATTTAGAGTTTGCCGCACAGACTATATGTTCTCTGTGAAAATCGATGTTTAGTTTCGAGTCTAAGGGCCAATTTCACAATGCGTAGTTAACTCAGAATCGGGAGTTAACTACAGAATTTTGCACTGAAAATCTCTAGTTAACTGTCGAGTCTGAGTTAACTACGCACTGTGAAATTGGCCCTAAGTACACACCTAAATCCTTGACAGTGGTTACACGATTAAAGGGCTCGCCGTCGTTAAATGTGTAATTATACTTTATACAGGCATTTTTACGAGAAAATGTAATAATGTTGCATTTTGAGAAGTTTAAAGAAAGACCGTTGCAATTACACCAGCTTATCAGCACTGATATGTCTAACTGTAGTATAACACAGTCTTCTAGGTCTTTTACTCGATAGTATAGTTTTAAATCGTCGGCGTACATCAAACAGTTGGAACATTTCAAAGTTTGGATGATGTCATTTATAAATATTGAAAAAAGCAAGGGGCCTATATGACTACCCCGCGGAACCCCCGATGTGACAGTTATAGATTTAGACAGGTTGTTGCCAATTTTAACCACCAATTTTCTGTCTTCTAAGTAGGGCTCAAGCCATTTTAAAGCGTTGGAGTGAACTCCAAGCTTCTCGAGTTTAATAAGAAACAAAATATGGTTTAGGGCTGTCAAAAGCTTTTACAAAGTCCGTGTACAGAGTGTCCACTTGTTCACCCTTTTCCATCGCATTGACCACGAAATTTAGGAATATGGCAAGATTTGTATTGGTGGATCTGCCTGGGTAAAAACCGTGCTGCTGCGTAACAATATAACTCTTAAATGCTCCAAAGAGCTGGTTGTTTACAATTTTATCCAACAGCTTTGGAATGGTAGACAGTTTTACAATGGGGCGCTAGTTTTCAGCTAAATTTCGTAGGCCCGACTTATAAATTGGGGAGATAAATGACGTCTTCCACTCGCCAAGGAAGTCACCGCTTTCAAGGGGCTTACTGAAAATTTTGATAAGGGGCAGATAAAGAGAGATTGCACAACTTCTTAGAAACAAGGGCGGCAAAAGGTCATATCCTGCTCCTTTTGAAACATCTATGTAAGTCTAAAAGCGCTTCCAGAACTTGTTCTTCAGTGATAGCAAACTGTTCGATATTTGTACATTCCAGTAAAGTAGAGGTGTCAAACGACCCATAGAATCGAGCGAAAAGTTCACATGATTCTTGTGTTGTGGAAGCGATAGAGTCTCCAAAGGCCATGGATTTCGGGATGCCATTAACTTTACGTTTTGAGTTCAAAAACAACCAAAATAATTTAGGGTTAACTTTAATATTAGTCTCTAGTGAATTAATATATTTGTCGTGTACAAATTTTGATAAGCATTCAAATTCTTTTCTACGCTGGACAAACATTTTTTTTGTCATCGATGGAACCAGTTTCTCTAAATTTTTTTGTGCATTATTCCGCTGATTTTTCAGTCTTAGTATATCTTTCGTGTACCACGGAAAGGGCCGCAAAGTTTGCTTTAGCATAATTAAAGATATATTTGGGTTCGCTATGATCATTTTCGTACATATAGAATGAAAATTGGATTGCAATTGCTTTATTATGAACCGATTCACAGGTTAGAAGTATATCATATCTATAAATATTAAAGGCAATGTCATTATTTATAAATGCTAAATCTAGTATTCTGCTTAGGTCGCTTACAATGTCGTTAATTTGAATTAAGTCAAAAGAATATAATGTATCACAAAGCAAGTCTTCAATATCCCTTTTAGAGGTAAAATGAGTTAAAATGCCATCTTCAGAATTTTTTCCCCATTGAATAGAACCCCAATTAAAATCACCTATAATGCATGGCGTTTGATATTGTTGCAAAGAGTCCATAATAAGGCTAATATTATCAATATGTGACTTATATATGTCGTAACCATTATTAGGTGGGATGTAACTTACAATAAAAAAGATTTCATTAAAACTATCGCGATGCGTTTCATCCATATTAACAGCGACACAGATTTGCTCGATGTTATCGCCAGTATGAAAAAGTTCTACCTCATGACTAGGAAGGGAAGATGACACTGCAACCAATATGCCGCCACCTCTAGTTACTCCAGCCTGTAGTATTCGGTCTTTACGATAAACTTCATAGTAATCGTCCAAAAGCTCTGGGGATAGAAAATCTGTAGTTAGTCAGGTCTCAACAAGTATGATAATGTCGAATTCGTGTGTTGCAGCTGATTCGTACAGAGCATTTGTTTTCGTACGCAAACCGCCAACATTATGAAAATAGACAGAGAGCTTAGAATTTCTGACAAATGTATCCATCAGCGGTTTGCTTCCATCGGGGGCCTTTTTTGAAAAAAATCAAATGGGCGAATCTTGACTTCTTCTGGTCATAACTCCGAGTCTAATAGCTTATTGATGTAAGACGGTGGAATTCCGATTTTGAAATTAACCCGTAGATTCGCTTGGAGCATCTTTTTTTATTACCTTACAGCAGGATATAAGATTAGCATCGATATTTGCATGCCTAGCAAAATAAGCGGAAATGTCTTTAGTTTCAACGGAGGGTTTGAACGAGCTTAAGTGAAACCATTTGAGACGAACAGCAACATAAAGTTCGCAGTTAGCGTTGGAACCAACAACGGTGTGACGCGTTTTGTCATTTCCGTTTGACTTAGCATTTTTCTGACTGTTTGAACGATTTGAGCTTTTGTTGTTGTAGCCGGCCTTTTTGGCACGTAAGCGGGTAGGATCATCCTTACTGGCCGCAGTGTCAACAGCAGCAGCCGCAGTGTCAACAGCAGCAGCCGCAGCATCTACATATGATTGTAGAAAGCGATTGACTCCGGTTTCTGGGGGCGCAGAAGCATTCTCAATTACACCAGTGCCTTCGTTTAATACAAGAACAGCTTCATCGTCGACAGAAATTTTTGCAGGAGAGATATTTAACGGCGGAGCTTGCGTTGTTAGTGGACGTGATACGTTATTAGAGTTGCTGTTGTTTGCGACTTGAACATTCTTCGAACAAACAACATCACCAGAAGCATAATTTGCCCGTGAAGCATTGTAGGAAGGCGAGACAGCAGAAGCGACAGTTAAGTCATGCAAATTAGGAGAACGATGATTAAAGTTGTTATTGCATGCACTTAGGCAGACACTAGAGTTCGTTGAATTTGCGAAAATGCGATTGGCGGCATTAACATCTGTGTTTATACCCTTGGTGTTGTTGTTGGCAGGGTTATATATTGATTTATTAGTATTATCAACTTGGGTATATATATATATTGCTGGTAAACGTCAGATATTGTTTAATAGCTCGTTGAGGTATTTCCAAAAAAATTTGATAGTCAAAGTTATACCTTTAAAAATGAAAGCTGCAGATCGACCACAAAAGGAAAGGAATTGTCCTTCTTTATTTTGTTATTCAAATAAATAAACTCTTTATGGGATCACACATAGTTATGTACATTGGGTACAAACAAATGTTTGGAAGTACCCGGCAAACCAAAGTTCCCGAAATCTTAACAAAAATCTTTAATCATTTCTGTAGCGATTTTTTTTACGAAACTTCAAGGAGGGTTATGTGAACTCGTGAAGAGGTTTCTGTACGAAAAGTAAAGAGGATTCTGACGAAATTCTGCAAGAAATTCTTCACATAGCAGCATTATTTTCATTGCTTTACATAGGTGCGTATTCGCATGCTTCAGCTAAAATGAGCCAGCGGCAATTTTTACACAAGAATTACTAGGATTTTTTATCATGCCATTTTTGGTATAACAGCGACATTGTATATGACCATATGTATGTAAATTACTTATACCCAAATTCATAAAAAATAAAGAACACTTTAACTTATTTTTCACGAGCAAGGCCATTAGTAAATAACGAAATAAGAAAATTTAGATTTTTTAATTGCTCACATTTATACGGCTTGGGATCGATATGTGCCCGCTGATGATGGTGTTGTGTACTCTATTCTTTATGAGTTTTGATGTGGTTAATAAGTGGATTTTGCCGGCGCGAAGCTTTAGCGCAGATATTGCATGTAAACGGATAATCCAAACCGTGAAGCGTTCATAGCTGCGAATCTGAAAATGCATTTATTGAGTTGTTTCCACATAATTTAAACACATCGATCTTAAGGCAGAATTCGACTCACTCGTATTGCAAACTATGTTTAAGATTAAAAATTAGATTACATATTAACTTACTGCTATTATACTCAAAATACTATAAAATATATGACCAAGCCCATAATAAACAGCGTAACACCCATACCGGCCAAAATTACATATTTATCCTCCACAAAGCGTCGTTCTATTAACTTCATAGTGATTAGAAAGGCCTATGTGCTGCCGATAGCGTGAATTCGACGTTGGGCGCCCTTGAGAGTTTCTCGTTGGTTAACTAAACTGGACAGTATATTGCCTCAAGATGCAATCATATCAGTTGCGTGTGATGGTGCAAAAAATAGTCTATGTCAAGACCCGTTTCTGTTGCACCTGAATTGCTTGAAAAACGATGGCTTAATAGTTGTTCACGCTCAGAAAGCTGAATCAGACGATGTTGTCGCTTGTCCCTATAAATTTGCAGCGAACTCTGTCACATTTGAACTGGTCAATGCGCATTTTCGCACTTGGACTTTGAGAAGCGGGCCCTTAATACAGCAGAACATCTAAGCTAGGGATGCCCAAATCAGCACATATGTGTCGCGGGCGACTGCGCGTGCAAAGCTTTGCACAGCGGTGCTGGGCAAGCGCGGAAGAAAAAAGTTATCGGAAGGGGAAAACGAAGTCAACAGAATAGTGAGATTGTATGTGTGACAGTGATGGAAAATGAGTGTGCATTGTGCCATTTTCGGCCCTTTCGGAAGCAGCCGGCACCTTCAGCACAATCGATTGATTTTCGGCACTATTTTTGCGTAACTCAATGCAACTAATAAATATTTCTTTCGGATCCGCAATTAAAAATATTGTTTTTACATTTAATCGTATGTGCTTAAACTAATAAATGATAAAAACATAGAAACGCAAGCAGAAGAATCTCCCTTCCACATTCTGCATATGCGCTTAACATTTTTGTTTAAACAAATTTGTCGAAATTTCATCTCTAAAGCAATTAAATATCATTTAATATATCTTAATTTAAATAATCATTTTTAGTGGTGGGCGAGTCCGAGATGTTTAAATGATCGAGATAGTACATTCAATTCGCGTAAATTTTTGAGAACTTTTTTCGTTGAAGGTGTTGCACTTTTTTCCATACTGAAATTTGTGTACATCATTTATTATTGTCTAAGAAAAACTATAAAATAAAGCTTAATTTAAAATATTGGAATAAAAAGCAACAACGCTACACGCGCATTCATCCATATAACATAAAATGCGAACGTTCGTTATATGGAAGAAAGTGCGCAACACCGCAAACAGAAAAATTCAAAAAATCAATGGTATTTTCTAGACACTTCAAACTTGCACCTTATTATACTAGAATGAATGGGCTACAAAAATGTTAACCCAAAACATGTCTACAAATTCTGAACAAAAACTGTGAAAATTTGATGAAACTTTGTTGATTTTTTTCATTCTTTCAAGTTCCGATTTATTTGCAAGGTTTTTGTTTGATAATGAGCTACAATTTTATAAAAAGAATAATTCAAATTATTTAAAAAAATAAAATAAATACCGGGTGACCGTGTAATTTGGCAAAGATGAAGACAATGATGATAAAACATTAATACACTATATAGGTTAGTTCATATTAAATTACATAAAATGAGATCAGTACCGATAAAATGGAAATCCTCAATGGAAATTTTTAATTTCAACGCATGGAATTTACATACATTTTTTTACTTTCAACCACCGAATGGCTCAATTACTTCTATTTCTGCAGGGTCGCCATTAGGTAAATTGAATTTCCAAAGATTTTTTCAAAATAAATAGCGATAAGGGATATTTCACCCGCCGGCGATAAGAAATCACAATCACCATAACGCACATCACTAATATTACTGTTTACAACCACGTTTACATTCAAAATTACAATTCATAATTTCGTTTTGAAGCAAATATGAAATATAGGTATATCCATTTACTTAAATGTAAACGGATTAAGCATCAAAGTGCTAGAAGATATTTGAGCTTTTGGTACAAAAAGTATTTTTGATGTTGAAATTGTACTTAAAGTCGGCAAATTGTACTTTTGTGCATTTTAAAATTAATTGTACTGAAAAAAGTACAATTGTACTTAAAATATCAACACTGATTCACTGGCGCTGTACTTGCTGTAGCGATGCCAGATTTGAGCGTACCCACTTTTTTACCGATAATAACTCATGCGAGGGATTTGGGTATTGGGCATTTTACAAGCCTATAAGGAAGTATACATATCTGTGTTCGTATAGAATAGTATCTTATGTCGGAAGACTGGCTTTAGTATAATGAACCATTCGCAGCATACGATTGCGAAAGACTCACTGGCGCCGAGTCGTTGAAGAACTCTTGGAAAATAAACGTAAAGGAGGCAGTTGCGATGCTAGAAAGTCAATATTAGTATAAAGTCTCATAAAAAAATTCCTTGTGGTTTAAAGAATATAGGAAATGGTACATTTTACTAAAGCCAGCCTCCCGAAATAAGCTACTATTTCATACGAACACAAATATATTCGTCTACCAATAATGTTGATTATTTTAATTAAGTCCTAAGATAAGTTTGTGAATCTTGTCAGTGTTCAATGTAAGAACCAAAAATCAATACCCTCGCCAATTAGAACTTTTGCTTTAAAAGAAAAATATACATAGCGCATTTACTCAATACTTAGTCACTGTTTGAGCATTGATGTGCTCAGCTCACTGTTGCCAAGGTCGTGCATTTTGCACTAAATTTAGTGCTTTTGGGAAACCAAAAAGCCAAAATAATTAGAATTCAATGCTTGGTGCGGTATTTAGTGATGCTTTTTTAATGTAAGCACACTAAATTCATAGGTACATATGTACGTATGTATACACTATACACTAATATTCTACATTAAGATGGAATTCATTTACTGAATAAAATGTGAGGAATAGGTAAATTAAATATGTTTTGCGTTGTTATAAATGTATTGAAATTAATTTATTAATAAAAACGTGAGGAAATGGATATGTATATACCCTTTTTACTGAATCAAAAAAATTATTAAACATGATAATAAAAACTTGGCGCTTTTGTTTTGGAAAAATTGGCTTTTTCTGGTGGCCTTATGCCACACTGGCTCAGTTGTCGCAAAAGTACACATACATACAGGCATTTTTACTGAAAATAAGTGTGTAGTGGTTAATATTTATACGATGCCATCTCCGTACAGCTCACTTCACCTTGTCTAGCACGCTAGCGTGCGCGCAGTTTGCTCGTGACGTCGACTGCGTGCACCTCTGCTGTGCATCCCTAATCTAAGCGATCACAATTTGAATTCGCTGAATCTCATTTGCCACATCAGTCGTTTCAGAACCGCTTATTTGTGCTAATTTCTAGAAGTTCCGTTCAATTTCTTACAATACGAATCTGAAAATGAAATGAATGAATTAAATAACACTAATAAAATACTAATTACTACCAAACTTACCCCGTGCCAAATCCAGAATGAAATTTTCAGTCATTCAGGAAGTTATTGCAGTGTCAAAACTTTGACATACGGTATTAGCTCAAAGTTTGACATACGTGATTGGGCGAAATGCGAGCCTTCATAAATGTATGGCAAGCTGCACCAAGTGGTTGTCAGTTGCACAACTTGATAATAAACTACGACAAAAAAAAATGTATTTTGTGGTACATGCTGTACAGTGTTGCCAAGTTATTGTAGTGAGAAAGCGTCAGTTTGGTTGTCAAAAAGCGTCTTTTGCATGTTAAAATCGACAACATATAAAAAATTTTAATAAACAGAACCAGGAAGCCTTTCGGTTTTTTTTTCATTTATGCTAACTTCTGATTGCTGTACGTAAGAATACAAATTTTTACTCTTTTTTACGAATTTTTTTAAATTCGCATTTCCTTTAACGCAAATATTTTTAATTGGAACAAAATCACAGTTTAATCTTCATTTTTTTGTTCTCAAACTGCAACTTAACTATGTGCATTAAAAACTGTTCATACTTACTTAGTTTTCTATCTGGCAACACTGATGTTGTACTGTTTACTGGCTTAAAGTGAAAGTACATAACGTCCATTGCGTCACCGTCACCGTCACCGGCAGTTGTCAAAATAGCTGATTCGGTGCATTTGTATGAAGTAAGTTACATGAACAAGCTGACGGTGACGGTGCCGCACAAATTAGATCAACTCTCAATTTTGCTTATGCGTTTGCATCAACTGACAACTATTCAGTGTTTTGTTTACATGTTTGAACGTAAATTTTTTCAGTTTGTGAAAATTAGATCATGGAAAAACGAAATTTAAAAAAATTATGGAGCAAAACCTAATGGAAGAAGTGCAAAAGTAAAACGCAAATTTTGTAAAGATTAGCAGCGATTTTATGATTTTTCGGACGCTACGTCAAATGGATAGTGTGTAACTTGACGCATAAGCATCGTTGACGGTGATGGTGATGGTGACGGTGACGTTGTCGCAATGGATGTTATGTACTTTCACTTTTAGCCCGTTCTCGGACCCATAGTGAGGAAATTTTCTTACGCCGTGCCAGGCCAAGCAGTGAAACTCACCACAAAACCACAAATGGCACCTTTTACGAGATTACAAATTTCACGGTGGGTTCGGGGAAACAGTGATCGGACAATTTGTACTATGTAAAGGTCTGTTCGATGCAAAAGCAAATGGCAACAAATGTAATGAAATAAAATCTTATACCGATGGTCGCCTTCCACTGATCTCTTTTATACCCAAACACGAAACCTTACGCTCAAATTCATAGAAAATAAATAAGACTTTAACGGCTTTATAAACTGAAATTTTTTTATAAAAACGCCACTTTGTAGAGCTCTGTAAGTCTATTTATTTTTTAGGAGTAAGACCATTAGTCTATACTTAATACCGCACAAGTACGCGAAGACTGAAAGTCTAAATTGGCCCAGTTTTGTACCTCGTCAATCAA